GAGATTCAGATTCCGCGCCCCCTCCGCACCGGCTGCCATCGGGCCTCGGTTTCCCCGGAGAAGCCCAGCCCCCGTCCCGTGCTATGCCACCCAGGAAAGGCAGGGATGGAGAGGCGGGGGTCAGAGCTCCAGCCCCCTTCCCGGGCTCCATGCTGGGCCTCAGTTCCCCGGAGAAGCCCAGACTCCGTCCCACGCTAAGGACCGACAGCGGAGGGGAAAAGGGATGGCTCGGGGTCCACAGCTCCAGTCCTTCTCCCGAGCTCCACGGCGGGACTCGGTTTCCCCGGTGACGCGTCCCTGGCGCCCGCTCCCGCCCAGGGGCCCGTCGGCGCCCTTCAGCCTCGAACCCTCGGGACCGAGGGAGGTGCTTCCCGCCTTCGGTAAAATGTATGTTTTTGTTCTCTGTCCCCGCGCCTCGAGCGTTGCTCCGGCAAGGCCGCCGGCTTACCGAAGGCCTCTGGCTAGCAGAGCCCCCCGCCTGCCCCCGCGGCTGCACCGTCCCGCCCCCGGCGAGCGCGGCTCCGCAAGCCGCAACGCCCGCAACCGCCCCGCCGGCAACGGCTCTGCGCTTGCGCACGAGGGCGGGGCCGCCGCGCTGCGAGTTACCGTAAAGCCCCGACTCCCGCCCGCGGCGCACTCATTTCTGGCGTCTCTGCTCCCTGCTGGAGCCGCGTTGTCCGCCATCCCGGGTCGGGGCAGCGCTGGCCCTCCGCCCGGCGAGCTTCCTAGTGGCTTGCCGGGACCCTTCGCCTCCTGATGAGGCGGGGACAGGGTGGCTGGGTCGTTGGCAAGAAGCGCGAGGAGTTCATTTCAAGTTGAAAAGCAATGCGGCGCTAAAATCCTTCCTTTGCCCAAGATATTTGGCAGGCTGTCTAGTTTTAAATTAAAATACTTTCCTTTTAATAGTCTCTTCCCTCACCCTTTTGTAAAGAACAGAAAGATATGGCCGGGCATGGTGGTTCATGCCTATAATCCCAGCACTTTGGGGAGCCGAGGTGAGAGGATTGCCTGGGCTCACGGGTTCGAGACCAGCCTGGGCAATTTGGCGAGATCTCGTCACTACAAGGAAAAAAAAAAAAAAAAAAAGGCTGGGCGTGGTGGTGGGTGCCTGTAGTTCCAGATACTTGGAAGGCTGAGGTGGAGGGTCGCCTGAACCCAGCAGGTTGAGGCTGCAGTGGCCATGAGCCTGCCACTGCATTCCAGTCTGGGCGACAGGTGAGACTCCCACTCAAAGAAAAGAAAGAAAGAAAGAAAAAAAAATAACAGAAAGATAAACTGTAAAAATGCCTGCCTGGTCTAGTTCTGTCCCTGGGGCACCCTGAGAGTCTGAAAATCTCCAGTTTATTCCCTTCCTCTAAACCTCAGGATCCCAGTTCTAAATTCTGTCATCTGAAAGAGTACTTATTTTTGTTGACGCTTTTCCTTTTCTAAACACCTTTATTCTCCTGGGTCTGCCCTAGAGTCCAGTTTTGTTCTTCCAATAGTGAAGGGGGACAGAAGTTTACATTTGTACCCAGTAAGACAACTGTAAGTTACTGGGTTAGTATCCTTACTCTATTATGTCAAGTATGATGTATGTATGTATTTATTTGAGTTGGAGTCTCACTCTGTTGCCCAGACTGGAGTACCGTGGCACGCTCATGGCTAGTGCAGCCTCAACCTGCTGGGCTCAGGCAAGCCTTCTGCCTCAGCCTTTCAAGTAGCTGGTATCACAGGTCTGTGCTCCCACGCTGGCTAATTTTTCTTGATTTATTGTAAAGACCAGATCCTGCCAAGTTGCCCTGAAACCCCTGGGTTCAGGAAATGCTCTTGCCTCTGCATCCCAATGTACTGGGTTACAGGCATGAGCCACCACGCCTGGCTAATGGCCCTAGTTTTTGTCCTTACTTTTAACTTAGAAACACCCAGAGAAAGCGAGATCTGCTTTCCTAACCCGTCACATGGACCACAGCTTCTAGTAGTTAGTCCTCTCTAGCTTCCTTGTACCAGCATCCTCTAATCAGGACACATCTGAGCCTTCCCTCTTTTCCACTAGAGTTTTCCAACTCTTCTGCCTGCCCTTGAGTCTCTTCCAGACACAAGTGATGGTGGCTCACTCCCTTGCAATAGTGAGCTCTGAATAAATAGCCCTTTTTCTTCTCATTTGTGTGGCCTTCATTTATGCCCACATTCCATAAATACAAGTTTCTGCTTGAGGGAAGGACTTATCCAAAAGGGACCTTGGAGGAGAGACTGGACTTCTTCAGTTCTGGAAATCAGAGCATCAGGCCCAGGGGTACTGTTGAGACAGTAGGTAGGTAGAGAAAGTCTAGGCAGACAGACAGGGGAGTCCTCTGGTAACAATGTAGTGAACTCTTGGCAGGCCTCTCAGGTTCAGCGTTGGTAAACAAGCTCCCTGGAGCCTCTCAAGCTATAGCTAAAGTCCTCACTGCTGGGATTGAAAAGCAACCAATCAACTCACCATTAGGCCCCTACCTCCTGCCAATTGGTCCATAATACTGACCAATAAAAACAGCAACAGTTCACAGCTAGTGCGAGCCAATTAGCTTGGACTTAGGGCTATGTAAACACCAGATTTTGGCCTCAGACTGGCAACCCCTTTGGGTCCCCTCCCACTGTGGGAGCTGCTCTGTTCTCTCAATGAGTTTTGCTTACTCAATTTCTGACCGTCTGTGTCCTCATTCTCCCTGGTCATGAGACGAGAACCTCAACCCTGAAGAGCTGTGACCTGAAGAGCTGCAGAAGATCTTCAGAGTTGAAAAGCGTGCATCCCAGAGGCTGGCTTGCCAGCGGGCGGAGTCGGCCAAACCAGGAGACCTGCCGAAAGGGAAGAGCATGAGACTCCAAAGCTGAGATACCCAAGGGGCTAGTCCTGCCTGCCCACTGAACCAGCAACACTCTCAGGACTTGGCTTGCTAGCACCCCTGAGTCGCACCACTCTTAGGGCTTGACTTGCCAGCCCATTAGAGCTGACACTTTCGTGGCTAGGCTTACCAGCCCCTCGAGGACTCTATGGGGCTTGGCTGGCCCTTTGAGCTGACACTCTCGAAGCCCAAACTGACCTGAATAATCCGCATCACTGTTGTTGGTTGCCTCCACGGCCTGCCCATCACCTACCCCCATGGAGTAGCCCAGTGGGATGCAGTCCCTTTTGGCTGTGACAACCTTCATTCCTTTCTCTTCCTTCTGACACAACGCATCAAGTCAGAATGCGAGTGCCTGAGAGTGACTTTACTATAGGGATGGCTTTCTTCTTTTGAGTAGAGGTCTCACTTTGTCGCCCAGGCTGGAGTTCAGTGGGAGGATCACCGCTCACTGCAGGCTTGACCTTCTGGGCTCAAGTAATCTTTCTGTCTTGGACTCCCGAGTAGCTGGGACTACAGGCACGTGCCACCATGCCGGGCTTATTTTTTGGTTTTTGTAGAGACAGGTCTTGCTACGTTGCCTAGGCTGATCGAATTCCTGGGCTCAGGCAATCCTCTTGCCTTGGCCTCCCAAAGTGCTGGGATTACAAGCATAAGCCACCACTCGCAGCCCAGAAAAGTTTTTATTTTTAATCATTGATAGTAGCAAATTACTTTTGACACAACTAAGTGGTGCTGTGTTGCCTGGTGCATTCATTTAGACTTCTCCATTGAACAACTGTTAACGATGGAAGAAAGAGAGCTAGTTTCTCTCCACTGGGGGAGTGGAGGTGAGAGAATAATAAATACATTAATAATAGCACAACAATAGCAACCCTTGATTAAGCATGTGCCAGGTATCATGTATCAGGTTAATGCTAATACCTACATTTTCCCTGTTTTTTTTTTGAGTCAGAGTCTCACCTTGTTGCCTAGCCTGGAATGCAGTGACACAATATGACTCACTGCATCCTCAACCTCCTAGGCTCAGGAGAGCCTCCCTCCTCAGCCTCCTGAGTAGCTGGGACTACAGGCACACACCACCATGCTTTGCTTTTTTTTGTGTGTGACAAGCTGTTGCTATGTTGCCCAGGCTGGTCTCAAACTCCTGGACTCAAATGATCCTGCCTCAGCCTCCAAAAGTGCTGGGATTACAGGTGTGAACCACCACCCCCAGCCAATCTACGTTTTCTCTTTGAATCCTTATAACAACCTTGGGGATCTGTTATTATTCCCAATTTACAGATATTTGGTTTTCTGTGTTCACCTTCCATTGAAATTGTTTTTTTTTTTTTTGCTGAGCACACCAATGTCCTTCATACTGCAAACGCTAATGACATTCTTCAGGCATTATCTTATTTGACATCTCTGTAGCATTTGACTGTTGACCTTATAATTATTTTTTCTGTTAGTTTTCAGTATTTTCTCTCTTCCTGATTGCTGTGCTCTCCTGGTTTTCCTCCTTCTCTTCTGGCTGCTGCTTCTCAATTTCCTCCATAGATCTGTTTTATTCAGCCATAAATGATGCTGTTCCTTCTGCCCTAGCCTTCCCTATTTCTTCCTGTCTCATCTTCCCTGACAAATCATGCCTCATTCACCTGGTCATTGTCAGGGCACGGATAGGGTGAGGGTGGATGGATGGATGGGTGGAGAGGCGAGGGAAGGCGTAGCACCGCCAGAGCTGGCATGCTGGAGGTGTGCTCTGGCAACCCAGAGATCTGAGTAATACAAAGAATTGCAACACAAAAAGAGGTGAGAGAAGAAAAGATTTATTTAAGAAAAGTTCACTTCCCACAGACAGGAAGCAGGCCTACACTCTAGATGAGTGTGGCCCCATAGTGGGCTTACATTTTAGGTGAGTGTGGCCTTGTAGCCCCCTCAAGCTCTGGCTTAAATTCTTCTCTTGGAGATGCTGCAATCACGTAGATGTGACTGTGGTGACTTCTTTGTTGACTACTTGTGAATGTCTTGGAGACCCTGTGACAGAGACCCACTAATGTCCCCCCACATTATCATAGCTCCTAGAGAAGGGCGTTATAAGGATTCCAGTGCTTCTGTACTTTCCTGAATAGCATTCTTTAGAGCTAATGGAGGGTGCATTTCCCCTTATCTCCTAGGTTTTCCTAGTGGGCAGTTTCGGGAGATCCTTGACTTCCCTCTAAATAGTGCCCAATGTACTGGAAGATTGAATCCCCATCTGCTCCTCCTTCCGACCGGTCACAAGTCCTGCGATCTGCATAACTTTTATAATCACAAGTTTTGTGATTTGCATAACTTATGCCTTATGCGTGAAGTCTTAGGCCTTGTAAACTCCCTTTACAAAAGCCATGAGACACCTCTCATGCCCGGCACCAGGAAGTCTGTTTCTGAAAAGACAAAGTTGGCAAGGTTAATCTTTACCTAAAGTATACATTTCTCCAAAACATAGCTTCTACTTTCTCATTATTGTATTAGGGTTTAAGAACAAGATGAAAAATGGCTTCCAGCTCTCGGTCTGACTTTCAGTCATCTAAGTTGGAAGCCTTGAGTCATCCCTGGTCTCCTCACTTTGAACATTGGCATTGTCCTCATTGACGCTGTAGATGGTCTCTTGCAGTAAGTAGTATTTTTTTGTTTGCC